GGTACCTGCCGTGCCCGCAGCCGGGCTGTGCGAGGCGTGAGGAGGAAGCTCACTTTGCTTTGTGGGTCTTGCCTGAGCAGTGCTTCTGTATCTGGAGGGATTCACCTCGGCGTGGGATGCATCTCTTAAGGAGTTGATGCTTGTGGTGTACCGAGGGGGAAGGCTCGGCTCAGGGGTGGAGAAGTGTCAGGAACCATCTCTGCTGTGACAACAGTAGTACTTGGTGGGGTGGCATCCCCAAAGGTTGTGGGTACCATCACCTAGGAGTTCATTCATGCAAATGCTTTGCTTCTGAGCCATGGTCTCAGTGTCTAATGTCACGGCAAGTCTTTTTCCCATCCCAGAAATCACTGCACAGCATTTACACTTCCTTGCTTCTTTGCACTTACTGTATTTATAAGAATGAAGGAGCTATGCCCTTTTGTAACCTTATCTACTTCTGTTCTTACCTGGTCTTTTTATAGTGGCCCCATGTGGGCTTATATCTTGGCCCATGAGAATGCTGTTCCTCTCTGGAGATCCCTGATGGGACCCACCAAAGTATTCCGAGCCCGAAACAATGTCCCGGACTCCATCCGAGGATCTTACGGCCTCACTGACACCAGGAATACCACTCATGGCTCAGGTAGACCTGTCCTTCTTGGCTGAGTGTTGCGCAAAGACTGGAGCTCAGGGAGGCATAATGGTATTTTGTCTACCTTTGCTTGCTTTCCATTCTGGCAAAATTAATGATTCACTCACTTCTGCAGGCTCCGCTTACACCTGTCCTGGTGTGACCGAGCCTGGCGCTTTTCTTTATGGCTTCTGCCCTTCCCTTTGGAATGTAGCACATATCTGTGGTGCCAGATTGGTATGTCTTATCTTCTTTTCCTCTGTTTTCTAACAGATTCACCAGCATCAGCCAGCAGAGAAATTGCTTTTTTCTTCCCAGAGTTCAATGAACAGCTCTGGTACCAGCATGAAGAGCCACATCTGCGCTGTAGGCAGGTGTATTACAACGCAGAGGAGCGTGTTCACTGTGTGTTCAGGGATGAAGAAACAGAGTTGACCTGAGTTACCCGGGGGTATGGTTTGCTGATCTGGAAGTAGCTGCTAGGCACATTGTTTGGGTCAGCCCCGTTACAAGACCTAGAGCCATGGCATGTTTTAAGGAGTGCGGGGGAGGGAAAGACCAAATGGTCATTATGTTGTGCTACCCGGGATTATGTTATTCATACAGCATACAGGTGCTGGGGCATTTCAGGAAAAACTAGCAATAGTCCGACTTGATATAGAGGTCTAGCCATGCAGTTCACTAGTCCCTTATGTGTTTATTTGGATATAAGTGGTACAGGTGAGTTCATCAAAGGGCTCTGTGGAAATGGTGTTGTTAGTTCTAGTTAGGAAATAATTGGTTTTGCTGATAGCAGGCCTCAGATTCTTAATATTTCCTCTGTTCCCACAGTCCCTTAAGGAGAAAAGGGGCGGGGGAAAGAATATGAAAAAAATGCAGTGGTAAGTAGGGCAGTATTAACTCTCCTGTCCTTGCTTTCCTGGATCCAAGCTGAGAAACAAGGTTGTTTTCAGTTTTGTATCATGATTTGTGTCAAGCATCTGGTGGAGGGCATAGTTAGAAGCCGTTCTCAGGAGGAAAGCAGCATATCCTTTTGGTTCAGTTTGGTCTCGGCTGACAAGCCTGCAACAGAAGTTCTAGGGGAATTTGCAGAAAGGTGTGGAGTAGTTCAGTGAAAGATCATCTGTTTTGTGCTCTTAGATTGCATGGAGCATGAGATCAGTAGTTCTGATGAAACGTGATAGTGACTGTTAGAGCTGTGGATTTCTTGAATCCATAAAAAAAGGCCAGATAAGTTAATTTGAATGCTGGCACACAGAGGCTATAGGATGTCTGCCAGGACCTCTTCACATTAAGCCTTGTAACGAAATGCCTAATGGCAACTCAAAGGCTTCATTGCCTATAGACTTACTGGGCATTGAAGCACTGAGTTCCATATCCTTTGTAAATTATATGGACAAAGTCATTTAATTATCCAGATAATTGATAAAAGTATTATATGGTGATGCATAAAGACTTGGTTTTGAGGTACAATGCAAGGTTCTGACATGCTTATTTCTGTTTTCCTGTTTGATGCATTTTGAGATCTGTTCCTGTATGAGTTTTTAATCCATTTAAACTGTCCCTCTAACAGCTTCTTACAATGCTGATTTTAATTAAGGTGCCATGTTGTACTGAGTGAATTTCTTTCAGATAATTTTAAATGCACTGTATTGGTGAAGGTACCTTTGTGATGTACTTGGGACAAGAAGTTCGTTGGCTTGACTCCCTTTGCTGAAGTTATGTGTGACTAGTGTGGACGATACTAGTCACTAAAGCTGTTGACTGGGCTGTTGATTGAGTCGCAAGTTTACTTGTGCATTATTGTGTCACAGATAAAAGGCAAGTTACTCTTTGAGTAGTCAAAGACAGCTATGTGAAATATTGGGCATTTGAGTGAAAAATGTTTAATTGTAGAAAGTGCTGCCATAGAGCTTCCTTGATTAAATACATCAACATTTTTGTTCCTTCCTTACTATTATGTGAGACTAAATGCAATCGTTGTTTTGTTCCAGGTACAGATCAAAAGGATCTGCGGAATATTTCTGCATTTTTGCATTGCTGCTTTTATTTTCACCAGTAGTATCCAATGGTGGATCTGCTCATGATTGACTATGCATTTACAGAGGTCTGAAATCTTGCTGTTCTTAATAGTACTGTCAATTGATATTTTATTGATTACCTGAGTTTCTCTTATGTGTGGTTTTCTTGTAACTATTAACCCTTACTGTTTTTTCACCTTTCTTCTTTATATTGTGCTTTCTTTTTTGCATATTATCATTTACTGACATCCCAAATTAATTGCTGGCTTACATTTCTCATTTAAATTTTTTTTTCTAGTCACTTGCAATTATTACATTTGGGGAAACTGACCTTTTTAAAATTTCAAGTATAAATAACACTGGCTTAGTGGTGCAGTGTTTTCACAGAATAATTATCAGATCACAATCATCATTACTTAGAAAGCTGCCAGTTGTTATGTCATTAACATAATTAACATTTCTTTGGTCCACCAAGACTGTACCTGAGGAGAAGTTGTCAAAATTGTGCAGTCCCATTTCCCTAGACAGAGTGTTTATTTTGCAAATCTAAAGTTGTTTTGCGAACTTATCAGGAGATCTAGTATTGAAATATTTGCTGTTAGATGCAGAAGATAGTGTCAAAATTATTTTTAATATCAAAGGAAGCCTTTGGGATTTATGAGATGACAGCAGATGCTCTCAGTTTTGAGGACTCTTATGAATGTCTTTTTTTCTTTTTTTCTTTCTTTCTCTTCCCTTCCTTATAAATGCTCAAGAAATGATGTTAACTTCTCTAGTGACACTTAGCGTCTGTTTTGCATACCTCCTGGTGCCTCTTGGTTCTGTGGTGAATCACCTTTGATTTTATAGCTTCCAATGGCTCTAAATTAAACCGATTTCTTGTACCCTTTCTCACTTTTCTCTTCTTGCTGTCCCTCCCTGTCCACAATCTGTCTTTACAGAACAAGTTGAAACCTCTGATTATTTTTTTTTTAACACCTGGGTCAAACCATTCTTAAGAAATCTTTGTAATGCCTAGCATATGCTATTTCTTCTTTTTCATAAAGATTTTTGGTTGCTTTATTTGAGCTCCAAACATTATGTTCTAAAATAATAAAGGCAAGTTATCTGAATGCTGGTTTAGCTTAAATTTGTAATGTCTGATGCTGCAACAATCTCGTGCACAGTAGACGTTTGTACTTTGGTGGTCGTCCTCTTTTTTACTAATGCTTAAATGCCCTCTACCTGTTGTTTATTTGCACAGAAGCATGGTACCTGAATATTAGACTGAAGGATGCTGAACCACACAGTTTCTGCTTTCTAGACGAAGTGCTCCAGTATTTCACAGAAACACCACAGTCCTGTAAACATTATTTATCCCACCAATTGCTTAGCTTCCAGACCTCTCCTTGCGCTCAGGAGATGGGACAGATTTCTGAAGAATTTCTCTAGCGTTTCTTTTCTCTGGAAAAGATAAACATAGTCTCATTTTACATTTAAGTACTCAACTTCAACAACAGCTTGCATAACTGACTACTTTTTTTTTTTTTCTCCTCTAGGTGTTGTGTGAAAATATGGAAGCCAGGTTTTGTTTGTCTGGGATATTTTGGAAGGAAAGGGAGCAAATAAAGAGGAAATCTGGGTAATAACAATACTAGGTAGTCAATGGGGAGGCTAATACAAAGATGTTTGAATGCAAGGGTAGTTCATGTCCTGAACATGTTAGTAACTGGTATCAGGATCTGATGAAGAGAGATGGAAACTCTTTCTGACTGGGATCTGCCAGGGCTTTGAACTGTGTATCATGTAGATGTGGCTGTCTTGCTTCTGGACCCAGGCAAAACCATGAAGCAAATGTGGATCATTATGTAGACATTAGTACAGTCTGTCATGTGTTTTTTCTTGCCTGTACCTCTTACCTTGTAGAGCCTGAGATTAAGTTTGATTAACAAGTTCAAATCTAGCCCCTACTTGCCCTGTCTTGGACATAAGGTGGGAAATTGTTAATTTCCTGTGATATGGGGAAAACGGTCCTGATATAATTGTTTTTCCGCAGTTTGTTCCTCTTACTCTTTCATCTTCCTGTTCTGTGTATACAGAGTTTAGTTTCTTTAGGACTGAAATGCTTGGAGCGAATGGAAAACTTTGGGCTCAATTCATAATAAGCCAAGATATTAACGGACTGCGATGCAGGTACAGAGAGACTGTGAAGTATAGTGGTGTCGGCATTGCACTTTTTCCATTACTGAGAATGGTGCTGCATATAACTTTTAATGGCAAATTGGACCTCTTACAAAAGAGACTTGCTTTAGAGCCAGTCCTACGACACAGGTAATAAAAACGTCTCAGCAATCATCTGTCTCAGGATTTTACTGCCAGAAAACTTATGCCACCTTGTGGAGGGAAGCATTTGCAAATAGCAGGTGAAGGGCAGGCATGGCAGCTGCAGTTAGCTGCAGTCACCTCAGGCTTCACGTAGCTATTGTGTACTGGAGGTGTCTCAGATGCAACAGCAGATTCTGGAGAATCTGCACTAGCAGCTGCTTAGTGGCATATTTCTCTTCAGGAGATATATCCATAGTCAGTGTTGATACTGGAAATAGCATGACCAGCAAATGCAGTACAAGGGTTCAGTTACGGTACTGTCCACCTCTGCAAAGTCCTGTGGCAGCCAATTTCAAAAGTCCATTGCCTGCAGCATAAAAAAAAAAAGTTCCTTATTTTTGTCTGTCTTAATCTGATCTGCCATTATTTTCTATGGAGTGTCCCTTCTTCCTAGTGCTGCTGGATTTCATAAAATCATAGAATAGTTTGGGTTGGAAGGGACCTTTAAAGGTCATCTAGTCCAACCCGCCTGTGATGAGCAGGGACATCTTCCACTAGATCAGGTTGCTCAGACCCCCATCCAACCTGACCTTGAATGTTTCCAGGGGTGCGGCATCTACCGCCTCTCTGGGCAGCCTGATGCTGATTTGAGTAATAGCAGTTCTGTGTTCATCATAATCACTGCCTTTGTGATTTACTTACTTTGGTCAAACTCCACCTCTAGCTTTCAAGCACTAATTCAGATGTTCTTATACTCCCAAGAACATGAGCTTACTATGATACAAGTTTAGTTCAGACTTAGACAAGACGTTACTGCCTTCTACCATGTGATTTGAACTTCCATGAGGTCCCATTCTCAGGTTCTTCCGCAAGCCCTACTTCTCTGCCTCCTTTTTCCTTCCCAGGTAAGGAAAATGGTAGAGAGTTGGGAGAAGCTGGTAGATGGTAGATGTAGAAATCCTTGTTGTCTCCAGCCCCTGAAGTCTTTTTGCTTATATGTTCACAAGTAACACTGGAATATAAATTGCTGTTATTCTTCCATTGCAGACCAGGTACGTAACTGGGTGACTCCTCAGGTACATGACTGTAGTGGCAGCTTTCACTTTGGGGATAGT